CCCCCCCCCCCCGGAGTGTTACCTACCCTCCCTATCCTCCCCATCTCACCGCGTGTGGGTGGCCACAGGACAACTGTCTGCTCGTCTGTGCTGAAACATGCCTTCACAGGGGACCGAGCCTTTCACTTGCAACCAGAATTAAGGCTAAAATGCAAATGTCCCCGGAAGAAGGACATGTAGAACCTGCGTTGTGATCCTTTCCTGAGAATCTGTAGGCAGAGGGCACGGGCACCGCGAGGCTGGGCTTTCCCGGGCACCAAGAGCAGGAAGCACGAACCTGTTCCCAGCGTCCCTGGTGAACTCCGGTTCTGCCCAGGCTCACTCTGGAAAGCATGACCCTCCTCACTCTCGGTGGGCCACGAGGCGCCCGAGGGCGCTGTCACAACCACAGAGTTCACGGAGGGCTGAAGATTTCAGCCCAGAGCTATATATAAAACTGTATACATAGTTTTTATGCCAGTTACTTTGTGGGTCAGGATTACTGATGTCCACTTTGATTAGAATCATTATTTTCCCTGACGGGGCAGAGAGGGCTGTGTGCAATGTTTTAGCTTTTGCTTTGAATTAGGAGCTAGGGTGCTTTGCGGTGAGTCGCTAGTGGATGCTTAAAAGGGATTCATTCTAAAAGGAAAGGCATATGCTTTGAGCAAACTTGCTCACGAGCAGAGCACGAACCGCGGAACTACGTCAAGGAGGCATTATTTACAATGCATTGGGACCTGACATTTAAGTTACTTTGAATTCTCTTCTCACTGAAACTGCTTGATAGACAAACACCAAGTGATTCCTCAGCCAGCCCAACAAAAGCATCATTTTGATACAATTCTAAGTACAAAAATGCCACCACATTGTAAGGGGACAGGGAATTCGATGGCCAATGAGAAATTCACGACCTGTAGCCTCTGCTCCGAACCCCAGGGGCTTCCTGGGAGGGTGACGTAAGTCAGGCCACAGCTGCTGATGATTCCTTGTTTGGCCGATCCCTCGAAAACAAGTGTGGCACAGACCTGCCTTCTCTCCTAGGTTCGTTCTTGTCCCTGAAAGGTGTTTTGTGCTGAGGACAGGAGAGGTGGCTTCAGGACAGCCTGACACGGTGCTGCTGGGTTCCTGGAGGAGGAGCAAAGCTGGAAAGGTGCCTGCTGGGGACACTCACGGGGCCTCCTGGAGCTGCTGACCCCTGCAGGGAGGCGGCAAGTTCTGGCGGCTTCCCTCTGAAAAATTACCTTTTTCTTCCTAAAGAGACCTTCCCCCCCCCCCCCCCCCCGCCATTTTGGGACTGCTGCTTCTCTCTGTTCCACATTTCCCTCTGACCCCAGTGCTGGCTGTCCTGAGGGTGTCACCAAGTCCAGCTGAACTCCAGCAGCTCCTTTCCAGAAAGGCAGAGCCAGGGCCGCCTGGGGAGCCCAGCTTCGAGGATTCTGGAAGCTCCCCAGCCTTTCATCCAGCCCCCGCCGCAGGAAGCCACTGCCACCTTCCCCAGCCACACTCACTCCTGGTGTCACTCCCAGCACGCTGGCCAGTCTTTTCCCAAAGCCGATGCATCTGGACCTGCTGGCCATGCTTCATCAGCCCCAGCAAGGCCATGGCTCCTCTGTGTCCTCCAATCTTCAGGAAGCTTCACCAGCTTCCAAGCTGAGTCCACCCGGAGCTATGGCTAAGGAGTGAAACGGAGAGGCAGGTGCAGGCAGGAGGACAGGCAGGAGGCTGCATCCCCCTCGGGGCTCTGGCGGGGGTCCGGGACAGGACGAGGAAGACCTCCGGGTGCCTGAGAAACCACGCCACTGGCGGAGAACCAAGAGGCAAGACCTCAGCTCCACACGCAGGTGGTTGCCAGGACCCGAGCTCGGAGGCCGAAACAGCACCAAGCAGCTCCTGAAGACGCCGGGCAGGTGGCTTAGCTGGCCACGTCTGCCCACACGGCGGGGACAAGGCAGCCTCGAGGTCCGAGGGTGCACGGGCTCTGAGGTAGGATTGTAGGATCTGCTGCTAGGGGGGCAGGATCTACACAGCATTGGCCTTGGCCGCTCAGAAAACAAGGGCAGTGTCTACACAAGCAGGTAGAACCGAGTAAACACAGTTGCTGCCGGTTTATGGGCTAAGTTTTATAAAAATCCAATCCAGCAAATGGACAAGGTACTCCTCAACCTCAAAAATAAAATGCTTGATAAAATATATTCTTTTTAAAAAGGAGAAAGTTTCGCCACCAGATGGAAATGGAGGTGGCAGGTGACAAAGAGGAAGAGCAGGAGGGGACAGGAAGGTGCTCTGGGGACAGGACCGCGGCGGGCTCCGGGCTCAGACCCCCGAAAGCGAGCTCTGTTTCTGAGAGATGCAAATGACTCTATGGGGACCTCCTGGGCCCATGAGGGCGCCCTGCTAGGGGGCTCGGCCTGGGCCTCTGGCACAGCCAGGCTCACCCCGGGAGTCTGGGGTGTAAGGGACATGCTGATATTGCTATTTCCTGCCTTCATTAGAGGATCTGCCCATCCCAAGGCAGAGGCACCACTGCCATGGGGGGCCATCTCCTACTTTCATGATGACAGTAGGGTGGGTCTGGAAGAAAAGGTAGGCAGATTCTAAGAGGCTTCCCCAGGGTCCCCCTGGGAGGACCAAAGCCTGGAAGAGAGCAACTCAGACAAGCTTGCAGTTCCAGAAAACAGCTGCCGGCCAGCAGACACGCTTCATGTGGTCACTCCAATTCCATTGTTTTCTTTTGTGTTTAAGGACTAAGAACTGACTGAATGCATTTTAGCAGACGTGTGTGTGTGTGTGTGTGTTTGTGTGTGTGTGTGTGTGTGTGACAGAGAGAGAGAGAGAGAGAGAGAGAGAGAGAGAGAGAGATGATTAATGAAGGACCAAAAGAAACCATTTTAAAGGTTCTCAATAGTTCAGTGGGAATGGTGAAGGTCAGTGGGAATGGTGAAGGTCAAGATTAATGCCCCTTTCTATCGACCTTGGATTAGGTCTGCAAGGGCATAATGTTGTGGAGACTCCAGGACCAAAAAAGCAAAAAGGAGAACCTTTCCTGGTGGAGATGAGAACCTGCAGCCTCGGGACAGAGAGGTGTCCCAGCAAAGGGTCAATCAACACTTGGGGAGTGGGATTCCGGAAGTGCCTTCCTGCTTCTGCTCTCAGGATGCCAGTCTCAAAGTCGGCCCTCCTCTTGCCCCCCCACCAGCAAAAAAGACAAGCTTTGAAAACAGATGGCAGGAAACATAATCATAAACCCCGGATGCCTTCTCCCTCCCTTGAGAAAGTTCCTTCTCTGTGAGCATTCGTAATGTCCAGGAGGAATGAGAGAAACACACACACACACACACGCAGCTTCACCACCGACCAGTGGCCACTTATTAACCAGCTGCCTCAACAAGCGTGGCCTGCAGACCTATTCTCACCCTCCAAAGAAAACACGTCTCTAAGATACTGAGCGGCTGCTGGGCTGCACCCCTCAAGGCGATCGTCCTGCCCTCGCGGGTCCTTCGACCTCAGCGAGGGATGGTGGGGCTTTTCCCAGACGCCGGTGAACAGCTGGGGCCGGGAGGCTAGTTGCCCAATAACTTTGGCCGCCCCAGGTTTGTTGGTACTTCCAATCCTGTGTGCAGGGTGACCTGGAAAAGACGACCCAGTCAGTGAGGGTGGGGGAGGCCACTACGAGAATCCTGAGTGCTCAGACAGCCCAGCGGCCGCGTGCAAGGCCCCCTGTTCACTGGGGTCACCACAGGCAGCAGCCTGAGGGCCTCTCTGTACTGCGGGGTATGCTGTTTATTGTCACCCAGTCTCACTAACGTAATGTCCCCGAGTTCATCCTGAGGAGCCGGTCTGGGCCTGGGTTTCCCACCTTGTCCCAGGAGCCCCGGCAAGGCTGATGCTCCATTGCAGCAGGTGAACGGTTCTCATGGTTGTATATTTGTCTCTGCGTTCTTCCCATGGCCTTCGTTCCTTTCTTACATCTGTTATATTTCAGGCTGCCTCAAAGCCCTTTCGTGAGTGCAGGTACAAATCAATCAATCAGTGATTGATGTAGGCCTGTCAGTATTCACAGCCAGGACTCCCAGAGGGAGGAGGGCTCTGCTAGAAGCTAAGGGTAGTGCCCCCACATTTTTCTCCCACCCTCGCCCCCTCACTGAGCTCCCATTTTGTCTCTGTCCACTTGGGGCCTCCCGAGCCCTCGCCAGCCCCCCAGGACTGGCTCCAGCCCTGAGATCTAAAAGCACAACATTCCTGCCTGCTTCAGGTGGGAGCCAGAGGGGGCAGGGAGGGGTGAGAGGGGGCAGAAGGAGACTCAAAGCCCCTGGGACTGGTCTCTCCCAGCCCCTCTGTGCTTCTCCTCTCTGGGGAAAGCCATACCTGAAAGGCCCCAGCGCACACCTGGCCATCGGCTCAAGCTGGGCAGGGGGCACTGACTTCCTCCTGATGGCTTAACGAATGCCTCCATCGCACCCGTCCCAGAAAATGGAACCCCCACCTGCCTCCCCCTCCATTCCCTTTTCCCCCCTCCCTCCCACTGTGGCTCCACAAGCTGGCAGCTTAGCGCCTCCACTTATCTCAAGTGAACAAGTACGAACTGATCATGCCACAGAGGACTGTCCCCGGGGAATGCCCAAGGGGAGCTGGTAGGTGCCTCTCTGCCCGGGCGGGCAGCAGTCAGCTTCTTTATAGCCCACATCGTCCAAGTGCACTTCGGAGGCCCCAGCACCCCGAGAGGAACAGCTAGAGGGGCTCCCGCCCGGAAGGGTAAGTGGTACCTGCACGTTGCGGTTGAGGCTGAGGGCTGGCATGAACACCCCATCCACATGGCTGAAGGCTGTGGGGCCCTGCTGCTGCCCGTTGATGAAGAAGGTCAGCGTGTGCTTATTTAGGTCCAGGAGCACGCCGACAGTGGCCCCCTTGCACACACCGCCTTCCGTCCTGGGAAGAGAAGCCCCAGGAAGCCCCATCACCACCACATCTAGCCTGGGATGTAGGTGGTGGTTCAGAAGATGCTAGGAATATCCTCACCTAAAACACACAGCCCTCATGGAGGTGCAGGGAGCTGTTCTTCTGGGCTGTGAGACTTGCCTTGAAACGCACTCTCCAGTTAAGGGCCATACAGGAAGACCTTACCCTTCGTGTAAGTTTCCTTACCCCGGAGGGATCGGCTTGTTCAGTCCCTGGTTTCCTGGCAGTCCCTGAGACCTGGGCACCCAGGGAATTGGGGTGTGGATGAGCGGGTCCCACCTGAACAACCGGAGCTTGGAGCCTGGGTAGGGAAGGCTCCTTTGCCCTCCAAGGGAAAGAACTAGCTTGGCACCCGTTATAGTTTTAACCAGCGAGAACGTTGAGATCCACAAAGAGGCAGAGAGCCAGCCCTTCGGGAGATCTCGAGGCCCACTCGACTTCAGCTGCTCTCCGAAACATCCCAGGGACTCTTGAACAGCCATGCGTGGCAGGGGACAGATGAATCTGGAATCAAGTCCCCTGTCCCGAGTTGCCATCCCATGAGCGCCAGCGGTGGAGCCTTGAGACTAAATTGTGGAGCTCTTGATAAATGTCTGTGATCCCACATTCGGCAGTGGTGGGAATTCATATCGGCCCGCGAGAAGCATCTCTTCAGATGCTCTCCCCAGGCTCCCTGGCTGATCCGCTTCCTGTCCGTGGAAGAAGAGGGTCCATCAGACTCCCTTCCCTTAGCTGAGGGCTGAGGGCTGAGGTCTCATCCTCCACCCCAGCTGCTCGGCTCTGATGAGAAAACCATTTTTAGCCTTTCCTGATGGGTCAGGTGCTGATTAGCTGGGGGCTGATGGCATGGCAGAGAGCACAGGAAAGTCGTGAGGAAAACTCGGTGCGCTGACGGGAAAGGCACTTCCCAGGAGGTCAAATTTCCCCAGGGCGGGAGGCGTGGGGTGGGGGTGGGGAGCGTTGTCAGGACCCCAGGACAGGATCCTGCAGGTGGGAAAAGGGAGCTACGACCGGGCTCCTGGTGCTATTCAGACACTGACCGCCGGGTGGCGGTAGAGACCGGCGTGAGGCGCAAACACGTGATTCCCACCCAAGCGCTGGCTGCCCCAGGTTCATGGGCACCCCACCGCAGCACCCCCCTGCCAAGAACCGGAGGACTCTGAGCCGAGTCCTGACAGCGCCGCTAAGTAGCCCTGTGACTTGGGACGCTTGTTTCACCTAAGCCCTTGGTCTAATGGGTAAAATGCCAATCACAATAGTACTTTTCGGAGGACTAAGGGAGATCATGGAAGTCAGGTGCTCCCTACAGCCTCAGGCACCAAGTAAGCTCAATAACGCTCCGTTATTACCCCCATCAGCCGTGTATCTTGGCACCATTTGGTTTAAGCAGGTAGAGATGGAGCTGGACTCCACTCTTCTGTGGTTTGGGAACAGCGGCGGGGGGTAGATCCAGTGCCGGGTCAGCCCGCAGCACCTGGCAGCCTGCAACACCCAGTCAGCCTGCAGGGCCCAGGCAGAGGGGACAGAGGGACGAGGTGCTACCCTCCCGCAGGCCTCCAGAGCTAGAGGTCACTGCCAGAGAAATGGCAGGTGGGAGAGGTGCAGTCTGCTTCCCTGGGGACCCTCAGGCAAGTCCCTGCCCCAGATCAGGACTCCTGGGGCCAGAACACTGAGAGCCTCCAGGCTCACTGACATGGCCTAGAGCTGGGCCCCGTGAAGTTGGCTCCTCCTGGGGAGATGGCCCTGAGCAGGCCAGGAAGGAGATCGCGCGGGGAGAGGGCAGCTCCAGGTGACTACCATTCTTTATTTCTGGGCTCCTTGGCCAGTGCTGGCCTTAAAAGGTTTTCCATCCCCCACCCCCACCCTGGACACACAGGCCAGGTGTGAACACGGAATCCCTGGGTGAGGAGAAAGTAAGCACTGAGCTATGATGGGGGGGGTGGGGGGCCCACTGCCTTCTCTGAGGAGAGAGATCAAGGTGCCCACAAGTCCCTGAAGGAGCCCAGGTATCAGGGACATCTTCCCAGGGCGACCCCAAAGGACCCCTGGTAACACCACTCCCAGGCCTGGCCTCAGAGTAAGGCAGCCCTGGCAGGGCCCTTGACAGTGTCCCCGGCAGTGAGCACCCCAACAGTGCCTGCCACGCCCAGGCCTGCCCTTTTGGGGGCACTGTCTTGGGTCAAAGCCCACACAAGGCTGGGCAGTGGGGGGGGGGGTCACTGCCAGGGCAATGGCACCTGCTACGTCTGTAGAGACATGGTCACAGCCGCAAGGACACCGGCTGTGCCCCTGGCTGACAGTGTCTAAAGGGAAACGGAGCAGAAGTGGGAAGGGAGTGGCAGCCGAGGAACCTGGCAGAGCCTGGTCGTGTGGCTGGCCGGGTGACCTGTAAAGCCACATGCCCTGGGGCCACTCTAGTCTCTGTTGCATGCTGTCCCTTGGGCACACACTCACTTCTCCCTGGAAATGGGACACCCAAGTGGCTGAAAGGCCTCCCCCACATTCCTGATGCCTAGCAGAAGGGATGCTGTCCCCCACAGGGGCCTCATTCCCCAACTGCCCCCCCCACCCCGCCACTGGCAACGCACCTGTTGGTGTGGGAGTTGCAGTGCATGAACCAGCTGCGGTTGTTGTCCACGTACATGGCCCAGGCCTTGTCGTCCTTGCCCAGCATCATGTCCTTGACCACGCTGGCCCTGGCCACCCCGAAGGCGGGGTCTGGGTGGTTGTCGTACCGGTCCACGTGCAGCTCCCAGTAGTGCACGCCCTTGGAGAACGCGGCTGTGCCCAGCACCACCCGGTCGTCATAGCTGCTGCAGGTGGCTGTCTGGTTGTCATTGGATAAGATGATGTCCCGGTGCCCAGAGTTGGGGTCAAAGGTGAACCAGGCCACTGGAAAGGAAGGAAGCAGAGTCAGGGATGGGACTCGCTAGCAGTCTCCGACCCAGGCTCGGAGACAGACTCACTCACCCACATCTCCCAGCAAGTTGGCATCCAGCATCACACACACTTTTCCCTGTGTGATTCCCAGGCACACACAGGGACACACGCGCACACACGCGAACACACACACACACACACTCCCCGATCTCTGTTCATCCCAGCTCTCGGTCCCACGAACCCAGCCTTGCCAAGGAACACAGACATTCGAGCCCCGGAGCCCCAAATCTAAATGCATTCTATGGAGTCTTGGTTTCCGACACCCTTCCGTTACGCTTCCTACGCCGTTGTAAGTTAAAGAGGAAGGAGGTAATCCCTGCCCCACTTTGTGGGTGTGGGATCTGAGACCCGGAGTGGCAAAGTGACATAACCAAAGTCCCCACGCTCCATCCTCCTGTTTTGCAGTCCTCCTTCTGTTCTCCGATATCCTCAGGCTGCGGGACGTGAGGTCCTGACTCTAGAATTGTGACCACAGTGCTCAGGGCAAGAACTACCGTTCTGCAGGGCGGAGGGCACCTAAGGTCAGAAAGCTGGTGATCTTCAGAAAAGCGTCCCCAGCCGTGCCCTTGACAACAGCATCTGCCCCTGCCCTCTCTCCCCTGCATCCTGGGGAGACAAGCCAGGCGTGTCACATCTTCCTCAGGGCGACCGCAGGATGTGCTGGGATGCACGATGACGATAAACAGGATTGACACCATCCTGGGATGCCCGGGTTAGCAGGGCAGGCTCTTGTTGGGACATGTTCTTTATTTACATCATCTCTTCTGCTAAGGACACAGATGACCAACATCCCACTGATGCTGATGTGCTCCTCTTGCCTGAAACCTGAAAGGACGCAGCTGGGTATGTGAGCCATCAGATCTGGGCTCTCGTGCCAGGTGTTCGAGGGATAGTTTCCCACTGGGGGGAAGGTCAAACCCAGGGACTAAGTGGCCTTTTCTCCAGGTCTGTCCTATGCAGTCTCAGTCCCTGGGTCTCCCTGAGCCTCTCACATCCTTGTCTCCTTTCCCACGCCAGCAAATGGGGTGAAGAAATGGCCTTTTTTTTTTTTTTTTTTTTTTTTTTGTGGCTCATGAGTAGGGAGAAGTAGGCAAGGGGCCGTGGTGAGAAGGGCAGGGACAGGGCTGGGAGGAGACGCATACATTTCGCTGCTGCTGAATTTCCTCCATCCCTTCACTCCCCTGCCCTGCACAGCTGATAGTCTCCCCCCACCCCTCACCCCCTGCCATCCTCCTTTAGAAGCTCATCCGCCCGTGCCTGAATCTGGTCCTCCCCCAGCACCCCAGTGCTCACCGTCAGATGTCTGCAGGACTACAGTTTTACTATAAGGCCCGACGCCGGAGGAGTTGAAAGCCTTGACCCTGGCATTGTAGGTACTGTTGAAGTGAAGACCATCGATGGTGCACAGGGTCTCCTTGCCCACATACACTTCCTAAAAGATGGCCAAGACTGCTCAGGAGGTGCCTCCGTTATTTGGAAAGTTTCTCTTAGCAACATGTTGACATTCAAAGTGCTAGCGCCTCAGGAGAGTTCTTGAACAAGGGACATTTGGAGGACTGGAGGCAGGGTCATAGACCGTGTCCAAGTTGGGCACAAACTCTACTCCTGGCTGGCCAGACCCTCTGCCCGTGAGAATGTGAGGTGTGACGGGGTCTTAGGGAGGCGGGGAGGGATGGCAGGTGTGTAGCCAGCTAGGCAGCTGCCCGAGAATGTCCTACCTCTGCTGAGGCCAGCCGATCAGATAGAACCCTGGATCCCAGGGACACCCACTCCTCCAGGAGGGGTGGAGGTGCAGAAACCCCCACCTCCTTCTTGGTTGTCGGTGGGAACTTAAGCTAGCGAACATGAGCTAAAGCAGCTAAATAAACAAAATAAGCAATACTTTTAAAAGAAGGGTCATCACAGGGGCGCCTGCGTGGCTCCGTCAGTTAAGCGTCTGACTTTGGCTCAGGTCATGATTTCGCAGGTTGTGGGTTCGAGCCCCACGTTGGAGCCTGCGCTGACAGTGAGGCGCCTGCTTGGATTCTCACTCCCTCTCTCTCTGCCCCTCCCTGACCTGTGCTTTCTCTCTCTCTCTCTCAAAATAAATTAAAAAAAAAAAAAAAAAAGGAAGAAGGGTCATCACCCATGATGGGAAAAAGTGGACAGAGGAAGGGCGTGACCAAGCACAGGTGGGTTCAGGTGGGTTTGGGCCGGGATCGCTTCTGGATCGAGAGGGGCATTCTGCCCCCCTCCCCAACTTCCGCCACCCCTGAGGTTGCCATCTTCCCCTCGTTGGCCCCCCTGCCCCCTGAACGGCTTTGCTCATGGCCTCCTGAGAGGTGAGACATTTCTGCAGGGGACCCCAAAGATCCGTTAGTAGGGATTGACTTTGTTCCCCACTCACTTCAAACTTACCTTTGTCCTATTAACTCCCTCAAATGCACAGCCCTGCACCCCGTCCTGTGTCACCATTTCTACTTGGTCTAAAACATCTTTCCTCTCTCGTTGTCTAGGGGGTTCACTCTTCATTTGTTATGCCAAGTCATTAATAATAACAGCTGGGTGCGAGGCATTGTGTAGGGCATTTTAATCCTCACACAACCCTTGGATGTTGTTATTGGTTTGTTGTTGTTGTTGTATTTCACACAGAAGGAGACTCGGAGAAGGTTGGAAACCTGCCCAAGATCCAGATGAACCCATTTGGAAGCCAGGGTTCAAATCCAGGCCTGCCTGCACTGAAAGCCGACACTCTTCCCACTTTAACAGGTGGTTCCTCATAAATTCTAGCCCTTGTATCCAGCTTTTGCTGGTGGCTATGTCTCGGAGGGAAGGGGCCATCAGTATGTGAGCCCTGTGGCTGCTTCTTTTAACATCCGGAAACAGTCTTCCCTTCCTGTTTCAGAAACAGGGGCTCTTTTCCTGGTTTCCAGTCCAGGAGTTCTTTCCAACCTTAGCTTCTCTGCACAGCCACGACGACTGAGGTTCTGAACCCAGTGAATGATCTGCCATTCCTCAACTCCTCTGTCCCCTAAATTGCCCATATATTCACACGGGACCCAATAATTCCCAAGGGAAGGCTGCTATTATTTCCCCAATGCTTACGTTCTTGTAGGGTAGGTCTCAAACAGAAAATGAAATGGCCTATGCATAAATCCCTTTGAGAGAAACAAAAGGAATATTGATCTTCAGCAAGATTTGTTGAATGGGGCAGCCCCCCAGGAGAAGGGATGTTGGAACTGTCATGGTTGCAGTGCTTTGTTCCGGAACATCTTTATGCAGTCTCCTCGGGAATGGAAAAGGAGGAGCTCTAAGAAGACCCTGGTCAACAAAGCAACTTGACAGTGACCTGAACTTTGCTGTGTGAAAACTCAGGGAAGGGTTCTTTAGGGGGCCTGGCTTTGGGGGGTCTCTACCGGATGGGGGAGTAGAACACCATTTTCTGGCTCACTAAGAGCCTCTCTTGTCCCCATGACATTTCATCCCTGGAAACACGAAGGTAGAAGTTCATCTTAACCCAATGGCCATTTACCAAGTGGCTGTCCTCACCCACAGAGCACCTCGCCAGGTAGAACAGTCAGTGACCCAGGCGGGGCAAGGAGGGATAGAGCCTTGAGGGAGTGGCGGGGGAGGGGGGGGCGGGGGGGAGCCTGCGTGAGCGGGGATATCTGGGAAGGTGCTGAGGAATAGCGGGACTGCACTGGTGGGGTGAAGCAGGAAGTAGATCAGGGCAGGGGATACCTTTTCTGAGCTCTTCCTCTGCCTCAGACCTGTGTCAGTCTCTGCAGAAAGGCCATCCTAAACTTTCTCTGTGGCTGTCACCTCTGCCTGCCCCAGCTGTCCAGACGTAGCCCCCGACAGAGAAGCCCCATTTCCCAAGGTTCCAGACCCACCAGCCCTCTGTGTTTGGGCCAACGCCCTCTAGGGGCAGCAATGGAGCCGAGGGCAGTCCAGAGGCCTCCGCGTTAGGACCCCCCAGTCCAGCATCAGGGCCTCACCCGGAACTGGCCCCCGTCGCCGTCATCCAGCTCCAGGATGTAGCCGTCCACGGGGCTGTGGGTGAAGGGCGGCATCCTCCAGGCCAGTGTGACACTATTGTTGTGGGTGCAACACTTCTCCAGCTGCAGCAGGGGGCCGGGCGGCACTGTGACAGGAGCAGGAACGGCGGGTTCAGCTCACGGACCCCGGCAGCATGCCAGACACCTGTGTGGACTCTCCTCCCCCATCTCAGGGTCCCCCGGCCCCCAGGAGGAACGGTGGCGCCACCCTGCGGTCCCTCCCAGCCTCTCGCAGGCACACCTCAGCCCCGGGATCTCAGTCTCAAGGCTGGCAGAGGGAGGGTGGGGGCAGCGCGATCTCAGGTGACCGTGCACTTCCAGCCTGTCCTGGAATCTGGGGTGGGAGGTGGGAGAGGCATGGCCCGTGCCTCCACGACTCTGCATCTGGAGCCCCAAGGAGGAGCCCCACTTACCCACTGAGAACCCCTAGTTTTGAGTCTCAGACCCACAAGGACCCCGTGAGGGTTGCCAACAGAGCCGGGTTCCAAGTGCCTCGGAGCCACTGCGGGGCCAGCGTGCAGCTGACACTAGGCTGGGAAGGTGCTGGTGGGGTGAATTCAAGGACGCATTTAAACCTTTGGCTGGAAGCACGTTAGAAGCCCAGGGAACCAGAGCCGGGAAGGAGAGGCAATCAGAGTATCCAGTGGTCAACCCTCGGAATCAGGGATTTGAATCAAATGTTATCATGGTAAGTTCTGTCACAGCAAGATCCGGAGAAAGTTTTTATATTCTAGCCTTGTTCCGGCTCCGGAGATTTTAGAAATAAATACAGTCCACACTGACAGTTTTTAAAGGGAAAACTGCAACATCAGATTTGTAAAACTTCCAGATTTCCATCTGGCTCCTGTTATTAGGGGTGTCTCCCAGATTTCCCCCCATGGTTTAGCTGGGTGCAGCCCGGTCTTACTTACAGACTTGGTCTCAGGGCTGGCTGAGTGTAGCTGACTCCCCTGGGGCCTCGGTTTACAAACAGGTAGGGGTCCCCCTCTATCCCTAGGCTCTCCCACGCCCTCTGTGAATCCCTCCCGGAGCAGCGTCCAGAGCGGCTCCAGGCCTCCACCTTTGGCACCTCAGCTTTCCCGAGCCCCCCTGTCTTCTGCCGCACCCCTGCACACTCTGCCAGGCTCCTCCTGCTCCTCAGCACCACGTCTCATTCACACCTAGGGCAGGCAGCCTTTCCAAACCTGGCCCGAGGTGCAAACCGAGTGTGGGAGGGAGCACGCAGATGTGCAAGACTCCTGTTTCATCTTTGGCGTAAAAATGGCCACACGTTTGGCGGGTAAGGATTTCCTGCGCTCACAGATTCTGCAGGTGTAGCACTCCATCCTTCGATATTCTGGTTTAAAAAAACCAAACAGCTTCCTTGCCTCTCCTGAATGTGGCCTCGATGCCTCTGGAGAGGCGGCCTTTGGATCAGGACTGGTTTGGGCCATCGCTTGCTACTTTGTAACCTGGTGCAAGCCACGCAACTTTATCTGACCCTTAGCCTGTGTCCCTCGTGGCTCTCTGAGCTCACCTCCCAGCCTCCTCCACCTTGTTCATTCTGCTCTCACCTCTGACCTTCTTGCTCTTCTTCTTGGAACCCAGAAAATGGATTCCTGCCTCAGGGCCTTTGCATTTGCCACTCCTCTGCCACCTGGAATGTTCTTTCCCTATATTGCATCTCTTTCCCCTCAAAACATCCCGCTTTCCCCAAAAGCCTCTTTTGGCCATGAGACGATGTATCTGTGTACTGTCTGTTTACTTTTCTGGAATATCAGCTGAGTCTTGTGAGCGAGTGTGTTGACTTGTTCAAAGCGATGTCCTGCACCTAGAACAGTGCCTGGCACAGGGTGGACACTCACTAAGTGTCTGAATAAACAAAGAACCCTCTTTTACAAAGGAGAGAACTTGGACTCAGACTGGGATGCCACCCGCCCTAGGTCCTCCAGCTACCCAGGGTGACCCAGGCTGAACTGGGACTTGGGCCCCGGCCTGTGACTCGGGTGGCCTTCCCCTCCCACTCTGCCTCACTCTGTGTGTCACCCGTCTTCTGGTGACACTAAGCTGCCCCCCTCAGAGTGGATGCCCCTTCCAAAAGAGGCACAGACAGAACTGGGCCAACCACGGCTCACCCCTACATTTCATCTGGATGAAGTCCAGCTGGTGGATGGCTTGCAGCAGCGGCTCGCTGTCCAAGGTCAGGTCAAACTCCGCAGACACTTTTGGCTCCAGGGCGCCTTTGACCCACTGCTCCTGAGACACCTGGACGCGCTTGATCAGAGCATCCGAGATCTTAAAGGGGAGCACAGAGTTTAGGGTTTCGATGTGCAAAGGGAAAATCATGCAGCAAGTGATGGGTTAGGAGGAGGGGCTTGGTGTCTGTGGCTTGGGGACAGGAAGGGGCTGTGTCAGCCGTATGCTCTCAGGCCAGCCAGGGCAGGGAGTATATGATCCCTGCCGGCATGCCACTGTGCAAATAAAAGTGAACTGTATTGTTTAAATCGTATTCTAAAAGGGCAATAATTTAAATATAAAGAAGAACCTGCTATCTAAAGGTATCAGGTGGGGCGCTCGGGTGGCTCAGTCGGTTGAGCGTCTGACCCTTGATTTCAGCTCAGGTCATGATCTCATGGTTGGTAGGATCGAGGCTGGCGTGACAGTGCAGAGCCCGCTTGGGATTCTCTCTCTCTTCCTGTCTCCCTACCCCTCCCCTGGCCTCTCTCTCTTTCTCTCTCTCTCAAAATAAATACACATTAAAAAATATGAAGATATCAGGCCAAACCGTTTTGTGAAGCAAATACGCAAAAGCATTCTTCCTTATACTGCTTTTGTGAGATCCAGTACTTTGCAAAGTGAAACATACTAGCAGTTCCTCCCAGGGTCTGAAGAGAGCGCTTCCTGTATCCCCGGAATTTTGAAGCTTGCTCCCAACAGTGTGTCCTCCCCCTCCTCCCAAGTTGCTCCAAACTGTCCCTCCATTGCACTCCCAGCTCTGCTGTCTTCCGCTGGAAAGTCCTGCTCATTCAGACACTTACATGTCCCTGTCGAGCCATCCTGTGAACCCTTCGTGGGGACTAGTGAAGGGGGCCATCATTTCCCCATAGATGGAGGGCTGAGCCCCTGTTACTGCCCTGTCCTCTAGAGATGCTCGTGGCCCTGAGTCAGCCTGGCTGTTGGAGGGATGCCCTGGCAAACCTGCCTGGGCTCTGCAGGCAGCGGCCATCTGTCCAGGCCTGTGGCACTCCGCACATTGAGGTAATGGGCCGTGTGGATTCTGCTAACTCACTTCCTCCAAGCCTCCAGCTTGTTTGGCAAAGACTGTCCTTTCCCATTTGTGGAGAGAATGTTGAGTTGGGGTCTCTGGAAGTCAAAGCATAAATGCACGACACGTTGGCCCTAGGTATTATGACACTTGACCTCCTCTTTTAACGAGGGCACAGAATCAGGGTCACAGCTTGTGAGAGTCAGACGAGACGAGAACCTGGGTCTTCTGGAATCTCTGAGCAAGGGAGAATCTACTCAATTCCAAGCCACTGGTAGGGACCGTCCTAAAACTCTGGATAGCTTGGGAAGCGGCGGTGGATTTGGAGGCAGGAAGCCAAGCCTCCCTGGGTCCTCCCAGTGCGCAGGCTCACCTGTAGGAAGCCAGAGGGGTCGTTCTCCTTGATCACCTCTAGGCAGTACTCCATCAGCCCGGTTGACTGACGCAGCTTCAGTGTGCAGTGATTGATCTGGTCCCAAACCATCTGTGATGAAAAGAACCCCTAGTAACCATCTCATCAGAGGAGGGGCAGCCAGGCTGCAGTGGAAGTTGGAGAATTAGCACAGAGAAAGCCCTAGACGCTGCAGCGCTGGTCTGCGCCACCTTGCACCCTCGCCTCTGGCTGTTCTGCTCCTGAGCTCCACGCGCCCTCTTCCTTGGGGAATAAACGGACCCACCGCCCAACAGAACAAACTCTCTGCCTGAACCCTGGGCACTAGAGAAAGTGCACGGTCTGAAACTGTCCACGTGACCAGTGACCACCTCCTGTCTTACTTTTCATCGTTGGTGGTCGTGGATAACTCCATGGGCTCGGCCTCTTCACTTGGAAACCATGGGCTATCCCCAACACGCATTCCTCCTTTCCTTGAAAGTAATATTTCCTGCTTCAGTTGGGAAATGTCTATGAAATCGGTTGAGCCGTCAAGGCAATGAAGCCGTCCTCTGTCAACGCAGAGCGTTCACGGCACCTGCCCGGAGCAGGAGCCCAGCGTCCTGTGAGGGGACACCCTCCCCTTCCCGTGGTGGATATTTAACAACGCAATAAATATTTAATATTTAATAATGCCATAACAATATTGCATTATTATTGCTGCTTATCGAACGTGTGAGATGTTAGAGAGGGCCTGAAGAAGGTGACAGAGCTGGCGACCCGAACAGAGGGCAGCCTCACTACGGTCACTGGTCACTACTGCTCTGCAAGCTGAGAACAGGCAGAGTCCCTTAAATGGAAAACAGGACTTCAGAGAAGATAGGAGAAGGGTACCTCTGACCTGAGAACAGCAGGATTCAGCGCACCTGACTGTGGCTTTGCAGGGACAGTGTGGGTGATGGCTGGCTTTGGGGAAAGTCACGTGGGTGTGAGCACGTCCGGGGCCGCTGGCTTATCCCTTCCTTGCCTCATGCATTCATTCATTCATTCTCTCACCCACCTAATATTGACCCAGTACCTACTGTGTGCTCCAGTCCACTCGCGGTGTGGAGGCCACGATGGGAAACGAGGGTGTCGTCACCCGGGGACGTACCTTCAGCTTGTGCTCTCTCTCTTTGGTGACCTTGGTGAGCAGCTTGGCTTTCTGCCGAGTTAAAGCATCGACCAGCGCATCACACTGAGCAACCAGGCAGGCTTCGTAGTCCAGTCCGTTTTCCTGGGGGGAGCAGAGAGCTTTAGACAGAAGACATGCTGAAACCCGGCCAGTGCTAGCCGCGAAGACGTATTTCAGAGAAGCTTTCCCCAGAGTCATCTGTAACATTACTACATTGGAAACAACGTAAATACGAATCAGGAGAGGGTACCATGAATCCTGGCACACCAGTATGGTGAAATATCCGGTAGTCATTCAAACCTCGTCCATTGAGAGTTTTTAACGTCTTGGAAAATGCTCATGAGAGACTGGGAAGAAAAAAGGGGGGCTACAAGTTGCACACAGCATAATTCCGTCCTGTGTGTGCGTGCACACGCGTGTCTACATTGCAGAAGAACATGGCAGAATGGTGAGGTGGTCGCCCCAGTGGGGGAGATATTGGTGAACCTTTCCATGGCTCTCTCACTCTCTACTTTCCAAAATTTCTATAATACATGCTTTTGTATAATCGGAAAGCAGGAAAACAACGGAAGACTGTAGGATCTCGGTCAGTCTTAAAAAAGAATCCTTCTAGGTCTCAGAGATCAGCAGGGATCCGGACCTCGTGCTATGACCTCTGGTGAAGCTCTCACACCCAGGAACTCAGAATGTGACCGTGTTTGGAGACAAGGCCTCTGGAGAGGTGATGACATTACAATGGAGTCATTCGTGGGGGGGCTGCTCCAAGATTAAGAAGTCGGTGCCTTTGGTCCGGTCTGTATGAATGGGCCCTCCACGCATGCACATTCATATAGAGCACACGCGTGTGTGTCCTCTCCCCTGTGGACAGCTCCTGAAGCCAGAGACTTACTGATCTGTGTTGGGCTCAGTATGTGGCACAGTAAACACATTTATGTGGTAAATGATGTATCGATTCCCTGGGTACAGAAGCGCCGTGCACAGATATTACATAGGCCTCCGTGGCCGCAGGGAGTGCTGGCCCCTTTCCAGCTCTCGTTCTACGATTCTCCGTAACTGGGTGCATGTGGGATCCCTTTCCAGTATCAGGTGCCACATGACTGTCAGCAGCTTGAGCGGGTGATGTCTGCAACGTCCGAGGCTGTGCAGCAGGACAGTTAAGCCTCCTGTGTTCGTCCCCCACAAGACGCTCGCCACAGGACCCTCCCTTGCTACACGCCCGCCCTCCCCGTGCTGCAGCTCTGCTCACCTGGACCTGCTGCAGGATGTTCTTCAGCTGAACCAGAAACTCCTTTGCTTCTTTTGCCTTATCGGAAACTCCATTTAAGGCCTGTGACAGTTGGGCCTAAAAAGATACCGAGCGGTGAAAAGACAAATCCGGCGTGAACGGCCCAGAGTTTGCGCCGCACCCGAAAGGCTTGTGGGTATGTGAGGGGCTAGAACGGATCCCACGTGCTGGAGCCGTATGGACTGGGAGCCCTAAGGCATCCTCTGGAAGTGGGACGCAGCCTCCTGTGGCGGTCCCCTTAGCCCTCCAGAGTCCTCCCCTTGCAGAGGGCGGTGTGGACAGAGGGGGCTCGGAGGGGACACCAGTTGCTGGCACCCAGAGGTGGAACTGCCAGCCCGGATGGAATCTATGGCCTTTTTAACAAAATGCATACACGTGCAATCGAATTGGTTTTCAAACCTAGCTGCTGGAGACTGATGACCTTGATTGTGGCCATATTGATCATGAGTCACATTTTCTAATTAAAAAACTGAAGACGGGGCCAAAAAGGCCAGGGTCATATCTGGCCCGCCCTTCCCCTCTAGCTTCAGGTCTTTGTTCAATGTCACCTGGTCAGCGAGGCCTTTCCTGATAACCCTATGAAATAGCCCTCTCCCCTCGCTCTGCTCTGTTCTTCTTTATAACATTCATCACCACCTGACACAGGTTTGTTTACTGACGGTCTCCCCTCGCCTGCACATAAGCTCCCTAGAGCAGGGACCTTGCCTGGTTTGTTCACCTCTAGCACTGGGCACATGGTAGAACTACATGAATATTTGCAGAATGGGTGAATTCGTGAATGAGATTCTTTTTTTTTTTTTTTAAGTTTATTTCTTTTGAGAGAGAGAGCGTGCACATGCATGCAAGCAGGAGAGGGGCAGAGAGAGAGGGAATCCCCAGCAGGCTCCACACTGTCAGCACAGAGCCCAATGCAGGGCTCGATCCCATGACCCATGAGATCATGACCTGCGCCCAGAGTTGGACACTTAACCGAGCCACCCATGTGCCCCAGTGAAGGTGATTCTTTAGACCGTACCAATGATTCTCAAAGTGTGGCTCCTAGACTGGCAACATCGGGGTCACCTGTCACCTGGGACTTTGAAACGCGACTTCTCTGGCCCCACCCTCGGCCCTGCTGATCAGAAACTGGGAGTAAAGGCCCAGGAGCCTGGCTTTTATGAAGCCCTCTCAGGGGATCTGATGTAGTTTGAGATCCACTGAACTGTACCAACACAGCCTGGTTGAACGTCTCTGGGGAACATGGTAAATGAAGCCATGGAGTGGAAAAGACCACTCAGGGAAAAATGAGGAGAGAGAAGGAGGGAGCCTCAGACCCAGGAAGCATCCACACTCAAGATGAGGTCAGGGTGAGGTCTGGGCTCTGTCCTGCCCCTTTCTCCACTGGCCTCCCCATCCCTACCCCCACCCCAGGTGGTTTAGGCTCCGCCCCCCACAGCTCACACTGGGGGTACCACTTTCTATTATAAGTATCTATGCACGAAGACTAGCCAATGGAACTTATGGGAATGACAGAAGGGTTCCGTGTCTGCTCTGATTCGGCAGCCACCAGCCACGCGTGGCTGCTGAGCACTGAAAAGTAGCCAATGTAACTGAGGAGGTGCATTTTAAATTGTATTTAGTTAATGCTTCACATGTGGCCAGTGGCTGCTGATGTGGACAGCCTTGGAAGGTTACAGGTCCCAGGATAACTCAGCCCATCCCCAGAAAGCTGCACCCACAAAGAGACTGAGATGTCAGGATCGTTCATGGGCCCCAAGAGGATCTTCAACAATCGGGATTTTATTTATTTATTTTTTCAAGATATATTTATTTTTTTTAATTTAATTTTTTAAAATTTACATCCAAATTAGTTAGCATAGAGGGCAACAATGATTTCAGGAGTAGATTCCTTAATGCCCCGTACCCGTTTAGCCCATCCCCCCTCCCACACCCCCTCCAGTAACCCTCTGTTTGTTCTCCATATTTTGAGTCTCTTCTGTTTTGTCCCCCTCCCTGTTTTTATATTATTTTTGTGTCCCTTCCCTTGTGTTCATCTGTTCTGTGTCTTAAAGTCCTCGTATGAGTGAAGTCGTATGATTTTTGTCTTTCTCTGACTGCCTAATTTCACTTAGCATAATACCCTCCAGTTCCATCCATGTAGTTGCAAATGGCAAGATTTCATTCTTTTTGATTGCCGAGTAATACTCCATTGTATATATATACCACATCTTCTTTATCTATTCATCCATCAATGGACATTTGGGCTCTTCCCATACTTTGGCTATTGTTGATAGTGCTGCTAGAAACATGGGGGTGCATGTGTCCCTTCGAAACAGCACACCTGTATCCCGTGGATAAATGCCTAGTAGTGCAATTGCTGGGTCATAGGGTAGTTCTATTTTTAGTTTTTTGAGGAACCTGCATACTGTTTTCCAGAGTGGCTGCACCAGCTTGTATTCCTATACAATAGGGATTTTAAATGCAAGTTTATCAGTGTCCAGAAAAGTGTGGCACCTTCCTCCCTATTACACTCTCCCAAAGCATGGGGCCCACAGTGGCTGCAACAGTTCCTTCCCCAAGTAGGGGGGAGGCATCTCCCATGAACCTATATAGTCCTTGATGCTGGGGACTTTGTCTTTTGTCTTTGCATTTCTAGCCAGTGATGCCGGCACAAAGCAGGGGCTCAGAAAAGCCTCACTGGCTGGATAAAAAACAAAACAAAACAGATTGATTGCTTCACTGGAGGTACATGCTAACATGGGACAGATTCCAGGAGACCTATCACTGCTGCGCACACCCTTTGCCAGCAAGAAGTTCTGAGAGGCGGCATTAGTGAGGGTCCTTCACCCTCCTCCTGGTACTTGGAGCCAACATGGCTCTGTCCCCACTCCATCCGGCCAGCACCGGCCTCCCAGCAGCCCAGCCCACCGCAGGGCCTGTCCACCTGCTTCCTGCTTGGCAAGTAGACCAAGGAGTGTGGCAAGGAGCCCAAGAACAGAGTGATTTTGAAGGACACAAGTGACCTTAGGCAAATACCCAGCTCAAAGGGGAATAATCTCACAGCTTGGTAGACACTGCTTCCAGACCCACCAGCCTTGCTGCCTGATCTTTCCAGCTCCTTCTTCTCAATGCACCCCCAGAGAGGCTGTCCAAGCACACACCATCCCAGGGCCCAGCAGCATGCTCATCCATGTGGGGGCTCCTGTACGCTGGTCTGCTGTTTCCCCCATGGAAGAGCCTCTGATGGCAGTGTGAATGCCGGGGGGCATCATTGGAAGTCCCACAAGCACACACTTGTACTTTTCTTGACCCCCATTGCTCTGTGCGTGAAATGGCCACAAGTCACCTCTACTTGCCGGGGGGACAGCATTGTAGAAGCTGGACCTGGGCATTCTAGTGGAAAAGGAGCAAAGGTTTTGGGGGCAAAGGTGGAAATCACTTCTCGAGGGACAAATGGTTTATATGTTGGCTATGTGTTAGGGGGTTACAGCATATTGTGTTTTGCTTCAGTTTTTCTTTTTTTAATTTTTTAAATGTTTGATTCTATTTTTGAGACAGAGAGAGGCAGAACATGAGCAGGGGAGGGGCAGAGAGAGAGGGAGACACAGAATCCAAAGCAGGCTCCAGGCTCTGAGCTGTCAGCACAGAGCCTGACGCGGGGCTCGAACCCATCAACTGCGAGATCATGGCCCGAGCCGAAGCCGGATGCCCAACTGACTGAGCTACCCAGGCGCCCCGCTTCAGTTTTCCTTAAGATACGTGCTTTTTCTTTTCTACAGGGACTATTTGGAGTGCTAGCAGAGGACATGGACAATTGTCCTTTTATTTATTTATTTTATAAAGAACATTTTTTAAAGTTTTACTTATTTATTTTGAGAGAGACAGAGACAGTGTGAGCAGGGGAGGGGTAGAGAGAGAGGGAGAGAGAGAATCCCAAGGAGGCTCCACACTGTCACTGTCAGCCCGACTTGGGGGCTCGAACTCACATAACCATGAGATCATGATCTGAGCCAAAACAGAGAGTCAGATGCTTAACTGACTGAGCCATCTAGGTGCCCCGAGAATTGTCTCTTTCTGGTCTGAGAAATAAGAATGGATCGTGTTGTCTCTTTGGATGGTGACTATACCAAACTCTTGGAAAGAAAGGAAATATCCAGGCAGAAGGTGAAATTTTTTTCATGACTGAATGGATTTTTAAAAAATCTTTGATTCCAGGATGGTTAACATACAGTGTTATATTAGTTTCAGGTGTACAATACAGTGATTCATGACTGCATGGATTTTAACCTGAATCAAAAAAGTTGCATGTTATGTCTCCCTATTCTTTTTTTTTTTAATGTTTATTTATTTTTGAGAGAGAGAGAGAGAGAGGATGAGAGACAGCAAGCGGGGGAGGGGCAGAGAGAGGGAGACAGAGGGTCCAAAGCAGGCTTGGCACCAAGAGCAGAGAGCCCAATGCGGGGCTGGAACTCACCAACCATGAGATCATGACCTGAGCCGAAGTCAGACGCTTAACCAACTGAGCCACCCAGGTACCCATTATGTCTCCCTATTCTTTTAAGGTTGGAATTACATTCCTGTAAAGTCTCTGAATGGAGACAGGCAGCTTGAAAATATAAGTATTTCCCAGCTGGGTCAAACCAGCTGCCTGCCTGGCCCAGCAAACTGTCTTCACCAAGAGCAGCTTCTAGGTACACAGGGCAGTCCTCTGCCTTTGTCTTCCATATTCTGGATGACGGTGCAGAGCATTATAACGCATGGGGCATGAGAACTCTGGGCCAGCGTGGTTCAAATCCTGGCTCTGTCACCGGCTGTGTATCATTTTTATTTCTTCCTTCCATACGCCATCTCTTTGTTCTGTAGTGTCCTCGACAAGACGGGGATGATAGTAATAACCCCTCCCTCCAAAGACGTCTTACCATTATGCAAAGACCATGTGAGGATACAGTGATGGGGTGGCTGGCCATTGGTAAGGCAGGAAGAGAGGTCTTAACAGGAAGTGACTCAGTCAGCACCTTGATCTTGGACTTGCAGTCTCCAGGACAGTAAAAAATGAATCTGTTGTTGATTACCTCGGT